TTGCTCAAACCGTGCCAGAATAATCTGAATAACAACAGAGAAGCAGCGCCTACAAGGCTGAATGCTATCAGCGTAGCACCGGACAGGAAGATAAATTAAACAAAGCGCGTGGCTGAGACCCTTAGAAAAAACAGTGCATTTCCCATTTTCACACATCTAAAAGCACAGCATCGCTGACAGGGTCTCTGCGGCCACTCTCCTCCCAGCTTGGCAGCACCGAGGACACCCTTCTCTCCTTCTTCTCAGGGAGCTGTTGACCCATAATGACAATCCTTTGCCCTTCTGTAGCAGCCATCACCTGAAAGTCTCAATTTCTCAAAGCATGTGGCTACCCAATAACGACCCTAGGAGTTTGGGGGGTAAAGCATGCCTGCGGAGCTCCACCACAGACAAGCAGTCCCTCGCATGGGGGAGCCACATAAACACATTTTTATGTTGAATATTTAATTGAATGTTCAAATGCCTTTTCTTTGGCTATACCCACGCACCTCCAGTGCCTAGCTCTTCCATCAACATTCAGCCTACTGACTTTTACTGGCTCAAAGGCAGATATGTGCCAATACAGTTATCATCTGTATCTTACAGACAGGGAAACTGAGGCATGGAGCAATCACAGGCAACTCAACAGCAAGAGCCAGGGACATGAGATAACTCTGCTCTCTTGGAAGCACGCAGCTCCGCAGCACCAGACGGTTTTTAAATGGATGGCACACATCACTGACTTCTCAGTAAGCATAAAATAATTAAGTTCTCCTTCCCTTTATATAGCTATCTATATATTTATTGATATACAGAGAGATATAGATATATGGGTATATATCCATATATCTATATCTAACTAGATAGATATGCATATATGATACTCCACTTCCGTGTCTTTACAAGGGGAACTGTGTTTCCTCTTATCCCCCCATCTCTTCCCAGTTTGAGCCCTGGATGCATCTCTTGAAAAATCTGCCACTGCGCGCACACATACTGCACCGCACTTAATGAGGCACTTCAGGTTCAATGAGGTCCTTCATCTTTTCAGTTCTAGCTTTGTGCTTCTCCCTCCCAGGCATCAGCGCTGGTTCTGGCACACATCTTCGTTATGGCACTGTTTTTCCCTCAAGTTGGTGGTTTGCGACTACCTTCCCTCTTGCCAGCCACTAGTGTTTAGAGGGTCAGGACTCCTGGGTCCCAACCCCAAGTTGGCCACCCATTTACTGGGACCTGAAAGATTGGCACCATTTTCAAACTTGGGTACCTGACAAGGGAGCCTAACACAACTGGGTCGGCAAAAGCACTCGCCACCCAAAGGTCCCACTGGAACCTGGGGCAGCTGCTGAGAGTCCCCAAATGTCCCCACCCTGCCCTCCACTTCCACCTCATAGTTTCATAGTTTCTAGGGTCAGAAGGGACCTGAGCAGATCATCTAGTCCGACCCCCTGCCATGGCAGGCAAGAGCACTGGGGTCAAACGACCCCAGTAAGGTGGTCATCCAACCTCCTCTTAAAAACCCCCAGGGTGGGAGCCTGCACCACCTCACTTGGAAGCTGGTTCCAGACCCTAGCCGCCCTGACCGTGAAGTAGCGCCTCCTGATGTCCAACTTAAACCTTCCCTCC